GGGGGGGGGGCTTATTTGGTCGTGAAAGGGGTGTTCTCCTCAAGTGACAGGAAGTGCTCCAGTAATGATACACTTGAAATATCTGTTTAGTCAGTTGCAGTTGAACAACTCCTCAGCCTTCTTACTGAGGGTCGGTTAGTACGTTGAGTAGCCCGAGACAGCAGCGAGACCAACCACCATTTTCCCATTTTCCATTCAATTATTCCTGCTCGATAGGACTTGAATATTAGCTTAATATTGAACGAGAAGTGAATGAGGGGATAGTTTACAAAGTCTTCCATTCAGATCTTCGCCTATATGGGAAATTTCGTTCCGAAACATTTGACGGACGACGATTGGTACCGGTAAGTAAAGCTCGTTGTCCTAATTTTGTTTTGTTCAATCACTTCATTTCCGTAACGGTTCCATATTACGTTAATTTTCAGGATTTTGAATACTACCGATTCAGTTGCTGATCGTGTTTCCTTCCTGGAATATGTTGCAGTGAAACAACGCCGCGAAGAAAGAGATAAATTGAGGAAAAGCTCCAAAGCGGAAGAGTATGCAGCAAAGTTGGACGAAGAGGTTTTTATTATTGTTCTCTTTATTTCTAATTTCCTTTCTTATTATCCTCCTGAGGTTGCTCAGCTAGCAGGGAGGGGGATTTGAATGGCTCTCGCGTAATGTTCAGAAGTGGAGTTCCCTTTAAAAAAATTCTTTTTTTTTTGCTCAGAGAAAGTGGTTAAGCCGCATCAGAGCTGCTCTAGTTAGCGCCAGTGTTGCACGAGAAGTCCTTTGGATCCCACCAATTAGACAAACTTCTATTCACTATTTCCAGAGAGCAAAATTCGAGAGAGGAGAAATGGGTTATGGACCGGATCTTTATCAATTGATCCACAATCCAATGAGGAACAGAAAGAGTGAGGATCAGCTAGAAGAAGTTCACAGGTTTTTTAACAGCAATTACGTGCTTCTTGCAGAGATCAATATGGCCCAGGGAGCAAGAATTGTGTCGACTTTGCGCTGTGACGAAGCTCCCAAAATTGTTTTTGATCTGCAATATATGTTCAACGAGAAACCACGCGTGCAATCCGAACTCGGCAATCAGTTGCAGTATGTTATCAGCGTAAGTATTTTGCCGCTTGGACCAGTATTGCGGAAATTATTCAACAATTTCAGCTATGTTTTAATTTATTCAAAAAACATTGCATCCCTTTATTGTTTCTATTTTGCCGTAACGCATTTTTCAGTATTTGTAGGAAAATTTGGATTCAAGAACGCCTTTGCACATGACTTTTGCGAACTTCCCAGATACCTATGAAGCACAGGAATGGTTAAACCGGTAAGTCATTTCAAGGCTACAAAATTTAGATTTGAACATTAAATATGGAG